TTTTACCGGTAAGCGTTTATCGGATGAGTGTTTGGTAAACGGCCCCTAAATCGAAACCATAAAGATACGTAACAAGCACATGTACCATTTTTAATATATGGTTGTACGAATCTGTTAAAAAAATGAAATATTTACATATAAAATCCATCAAGATACAAAATCGATATTTGTTATATGATCAAAGTCTTGCAAATACGATCCATCCCTAAAAAATTCATTGAGATTCTAACGTATGATAATTGAATTAATAAGAATAATATCATATTATAATTTCTACTATTATGCATTATTGATAAAAATACATTGGTAAATATTTCATCTGCATTGGTTGGTGTGATAACTTTAGACCATAATTAGAAGAAACTTCAACCACAAGGGTGGTGTTTGATTGGCTTGAGTTTGACTCCAAATGTCAAAAGTACCAGGAGGTCACAGGTTCAAATCCAAGGAGAAATAAAAATCCTCTTGTAGCCACGGAGGTTCAAATGCGGTGAGTCCGAGCTATCTGCAAAGCAGGTGGTCATGCTGGGATTAGTCGGCTCACATAGCGGGTTATCCAGGTTAATCAAAAAAAATTGAGAAGAAACTTCAACATTAGTTTGTTCCCTAGAGTAAAAATAAATAGCCTTTTAGGCTCTTTAGCCGGTGGCCTAGCCAAACAAATCTACAGGACGAGTAAGTTAAACTAATGAAGCTTGTATAAAATTATGTCTATTGGATAAAAAAGGTAAGTTGGTATGACCTGACCCTACAAATGATCACATCTGGTTTAAAGGAGTGCACCTGTGATAGTTACGTTCATTAAACAAAAGTACGATGACATGTCAATGTTTTATTTGTTAGACATGCTTTTTGCATCAAGAGTATGAGAGAGGTTATATTTGTCTTTTGTGTTAAGCATGATGAGTAGGTTTATGGCAAACTCAAGTAAGAAACATTCGAAAGTCGTTCAGTATATCTTTGAAATACTTGAGGGTTGTGTAAGATTTGTGTTTACATTTTGGAATATCGTGTTTGGGGGTGCTTGGATACGTGGATTCCGACTATGTTGAAAACTTGGACTCTTATTCTGGCAACTGGAGTAGCAACACAACGAAGTTGTAAAAGCCAAGTTCAAGGAATCAGGCAACCGAGTGTGGCAGCCCCTTGTCCCATGCTCTGAGTGAGGGGTTTATTTCCAAACTAGAGTTATTTTATTTGTTATGTTCTTCATATCGAATGTTCTTTCCTCCATATACAAACCACTTTTAGATGTATTCATTTCTTCACCGTTGTAATCACCAAATCATTAGTAGATGAGTCATCGGTGTCCTCCATCGATGATTTTTCCCTTTTGGAATTTGCAATGCCACTCTCTCCTTTTATTGCTTTATTTTCATATGATGCCCCTTATGTTTTATTCATGATAATACTAAGTAGATATTGTTACTAGTCATATCAATCCATCATCCACATTAAACCAATGTTAGCAAAGGGAAATTAACCAACATAGTTATTGTTCGGTTTACTATTTAGATAATTCTCTTCCATACTGTCAACACCTCCACAAGTGCCTAAGCTGCAACTTATAGAGAGGTGTTTTAAAAAAAAAAGTTGCTTTTTGTATCTTAAGATGACGTGGTTTGTCTTGGAAAGTGGGGCCACACTACAAACCCTCCGCAAGTGACTTGTATTGAGCATAGGAACTATGCACTCCACAAGTTTGGAACTTAAAAAGGGAGACTTGAGAAGTGGCACCTCCGCAAGTTTGAACTCGAGTCCCCCCCCCCCCCCAAGTGATAGGTCTCTTCCACGAGCACTCGAGTTTTTTTTAGAAAAATGACCCCCTTCACAAGTTGCGTCTTGGACACTTGCGAAGGTGTTAATTTTCTTGAAAGAGTGAGAGAGAAATAGATAAGAGGTGAATTTGATCAGTTAAAATGTTACTTATGTTAATTCCCTTATTAGAATTGTGCTTTGAGATGATGATGGAGAGTTGACCTTTAGGGGACGTTTGGTTCGCATATTCTAAAGGGATTTAATGGAATTTGAATGTTTAATTTCATTGACCAAATTTTATTCTCTCGTTTGGTTCATTCTTTTTCACGAAAGAAATCTTTAAAATTCTACAAATTCCACAAATAAAATAATTTAACATTCCTTAGCAACTACATGGTATTGTAATTGAATGGAATTCACTATCTTCATAATACTCTAATCTCATAAAACCAAATATGACCATCATTGACCACCTCCGACCATCGTCATCTGAACCACCGCCAACCATCGCCATCTAAACCACCGCCGACTACCACCGATCTGAATCACCGCTAATCTCAACCACCGCCGACCACTACCGATCTAAACGACCACCGGCATGAACCACCATGGACCACCACCAGGGACCACCACCGATCTGAACCATCGCCAACTACTATCGATCTAAATCACCACCGGCCACAGTCGATCTAAACAACCAACAATCTGAACCACATCCGACCACCGCCTCTTAAACCATACGGACCACCACCGATTTGAACCACTGTCTACCACCGATCTGAATCATTGTCGGATACCGCCGGCCACCAACGATTTGAACAACCACCAATCTGAACCACTGCGGCCACCGCCCATCTGAACCACTGCTGACCACCTCTATCTGAACCACCGCGGACCACCATCGATTTGAACCACTGATGACCACCGCCATCTAA